ATTTCTCTTAGACAGGCACTGCACCAATGTTCGTCATTTTGATGTCCATCCTTTCAGACTGCTCCCAACAACAACGCAGTTTTGCTCAGCTTATGAACAATGGGATGAACCATTTGTCTAATAACTATGGTATTAATGTTCCCAACCAAATCCATCTGTGGTATTTCCTCTATTGGTGAATTCATTGCAGTGATATCTACAGTCTGTAGTGATTAAAAATATATAAATAAGGAGGAATGATAATGTCACCAGCCTAGTAAATGAGTATAATAGCATGTATAGGTACAGTATATCTTATCATTGGTTTTGATATACTTTTAGTTAATTTTGAATTTTAAAAATTGTTGTTATATTTACTGTATGTACCAGGACTTTGAAAGCAGTGAGTCACAAAATGGAAGTTTAAATAAATAAATATAGCATAGAAATAACATTGCATGCAAAACCCAGATGGATTTTAGTATAAAGCCATCTAAGGCTCATCACTTTATATATAAGCATTATGATAGCATATTAACTAACAATACTGTAATCCACTAAATGTGACGTCCCAGGATGTTCATTAGTTCTAGCTCGATAAATGAAAAAATTACTATGTAAGAAGCAGAAATGGATTGGCAGGCACCCTTTTGTGGTACATGCAGATAGATAATACTGATGCATTATATGTGTGCAAAATCAAATTTGAAGTTTACGCTAGGCCTAATATTGCAGGTTTACATGACTGTATTCTAATAATTCTTTTATCTTGCTCAGTCTGTGGTCTGAGGCATATGACCCACATACAGTTCCCATGTTGACACTGTGACTTATGGTATTGGTATCCTGTTGGGGTTGTTGTTCTATTGATCTTTGGCAACTTGGAGGTCTATTATTACATACAAAGCCCATTGGAATTCCCCAATGCTACAGTAGTATGAACATTTTAGGCAGTGTAAAAGAATTTGTTCTGCATCGGGCTACCACATGTTTTTAGGGTCTTTAGGAGGGATCTTTCTTCTTTTTTTTGACTAATGGAAAACCTATGAATGGGCAAAATATTTTTATAGCATAGTTTAATATAGGGGGTGGCCATTCCAGTTTATCCTTGTAATGTATAGAAAACTCCCTGAATACAGTACTTGGAAGAATATTCTGACATCCAGGCTATTACTACGACCAAGTAACATATAGGGACAATGTGTTAAATGTTTATCAAGTAAGACCAAGCAAGGAGGTATAAAAATATTACCTCCTTGGACCAAGTAGCTTCAATCAATGAATTAGTACCAAATTCCACCTTTCACAGACATGAAAAACTAATTCACAAGATATTTTCTTTATCCATTCATTCAATTCTAGTTTATTAATAAAACATAATGACATCAATATAAAAAAAACAAAAACAGTGAAATGCGACAATTTACTTCAACTGTTTAACAAAAAACACTAAATTAACTACCTTTAAAATTTATATGATGCATACAATTGAATGAATTACAAGAAAAAAAGGACCATTATAATATCTGCACAAAAAGAATCACATAATTTACTTTCATTAAATTGTTGCAATAATACATACAAATTTTAAATAATTATATAACAAAAAATTGTATTCAATATTTCAATCGAAATATTGAATACAATGATGAGTCTTACTTTATTTGGAGTATATTTTATATAAGTTACAGTATATTAAACTTATCAGTATACCTACTAGTTTTTAGTTATCTTTACATCTACAAAGTAATAAAAATATTTACCGTTTACTTTTTGATTGACATACAGTAAGAACATGGTGTACCAGCACAAGTTGAAGAGATCTTTAACTGTCATACGACCATGTGTTAAATCTAATATAACATTGATAATTGTTACCTTAGTATGTTTGAATTCATTTATTTCAGTGCATTTTATTAATTTATTTCATTATATTTTATATCGATTATAAAGTTTATTTTATTTCTCTGAGCTTCTCTGATGGTGGAAATTTATGGTCATACTAATCCCTGATAAATAAAATTGTGAAATTTGAAGGTCATTAAATTTAAAAGGTTTATTTTAGTTCCTCCGGGTTAGCTATTTTAGCTATGAAACATCATGAACCTCTCATTTCTCAACAATATAACCGCTCGCTGGTCATTCCGAATGTCTGTTAGCAATGTTTTATTGTGACTTTGTGATTTTTTATGACCAATATATTCCTTTTAAAGTGCTTTTATTAAAGCTCTTTGGAAAACTAAGTTGCCATTTTCACTGTCAATATTTTGATGCATTGCTAGTTATTTGGATAGTACTGCTCATTCAACTATGTTGTGATTTACACTATTACTATGTATAAATATATAGTTATTATTGTAGTACCCATAGCAAATTCACTACTTTGATAAATAACGATGAGTTATATTTCCTCTAATACCCTACAGTATGACATATGAATGATGTTCATTGAGTAGTACAAGGCAATTTTACATTTAGAAGATACCTGTAGAACTACCATCAAATCAAATTTCTATTAAAATTTTCTGGAAATAGAATGGGCCCAGGGGCATAAAAGTTTTTTTTTTTAAGTACTTTATTTCTGTCGTTTTGTGCCCTTTTGACGTCAGCATAGTGCTTTTGCAAGCCGCAAATTGCGAGTTTTCTCATTGTCATGTAGCGGTTTGGCAAGCAATTACCACCACTGTTTTTAAATGCTGATGAACGTGTGGCACTTACAGAATATTGATGTTCTATACAATGGTCCAAATGTTTTTAAAAGACATAAAATACTTTACTAAAAATATTTCAAAGTCAAATCAAATCTAGCATTTCCTTTATTGTTTAAAACCCTATAAGGAGTGACAGTACAGTAAAGGTAGCAATTAAAGGTCGCCCTCTAATTAAAGACCACTTTTGTGATGGAGGTCCCTATGGACTTTAGCAGCTTGTCTCTAATTTAGAATAATAAAAATGTTATATGAGACTAGAGAAAAATGGTCTTTAATTGGAGGAGTCATTAATCAGAGGGAGACCTGTATTTACAGCGTGGGTCACCAAAAAGGGAATACTCTTAACATTGTTGAATAACATATGAACTTATTATTGATAAATAAAATTGGCCTAATTTACTGTATTAAAAACTATCATCATATGGTTTGTGTTAATTACCCATAGAACATGATGATGTCATTATCATATCCATGGGTACGGTGATTTCATATCATATCCTTATACAGTATTATCATAGGTATTTGGTAATGTGGATAACTTTAGCTGTATTCACATTAGCGGTTTCTGTGAGTTTGTTTGTTTTTTGGGGTTTTTTTTTACCTGAATGGTACATTTCAAGTAACAAAGGAGTTGTCAGCTGAGGTTTTTTTTTATTGAGGTTTTTTTTTTTATTGTGCAATGGGTGATTGATTTTTTTTTCAAAATCAGTGGTACTTTTGCAAGCATTATGATATGTGGCAAAGACGAGAAAAAACAGCGCTTTTCATAAATTTTGTTTCGGAGATAATGACAAAACATGTTGGAATGTCAAATTTTTTAAAATCTATTTGATTGTACTAAACTAAAGTTTATATATCTATATATCATACTATGTTATTTTCCCATTTGTTAGTGATTTGGTGTTGGTCTGTCACCTGAAAAATAGCCAAAATCATGAACTTTGATTTCTCAAATACTGTTTTTTAAGCAGCTGTGGCCTGCAGTATCTTTGAACTCCTGTAACTTTAAAACGAAATGTCAGATTTAAATTATTCTTTTACCATTTTTGTAACTTTCATTTTACTGCTTAACCCTGTATTAATAAGTAAAAATAGATTTTTTGGTTTGGCTTGTCTTTTCCAAGTATGATAATAATAATAATAATGAACTACTTCGTGATTCCATATGTTGTAACTTAATGATATCTAAGCATAGACCTAAAGATGTGTATTATATTTTCAATGGTTTGTAAATTTCTTGCTACATTTCACCTGTCTTGAGCATTTATCACGTTTGAGTATACAGTGGGTTGTTTGATGACAAACATTTAACAAACTTGATTAGATTATCTAAATTGTGCACTGTATTTCATCTGTATATCAATACTCAAGGCCATTCAGTATAACTCAAATTCAAAAGAACATAAACCACATCTTGTTCTGGTTGGTTACCTAGTAACGTTATTGATTCCTTTATTGCGGGATCATTTTGCGCTCTCAATTTCTTGCATGACAGCAGGGAAAATTATTAGCATTAATCTAGCTTTTGAGATCAAAGTCGGAAAATTTCAAGATGACTTCCTTTTGGCCGTTTATAATATTTCCAAAATGAATGAACAAAAATAGAAAAGCTTACTTTTGAAAGTGACTATAATGTCTGTAATTATATAGGTGTAACGTTTGGACTTTTAAATTGCACTTAAAAAATAGAAAAATATTATTTTTTTTTTTAAGTGCGATTTACTTTATGTGTATCGTATTCATTAAAAAATTGTTCATGATTGAAATGAAGGTTTGTGTACCAACTTTACAGTATATGTCACAGAAAGAAGAATAGTAGTAAGAATTAATGTTCATCTATGCTTATTCATATTAAAAACAGATGGCATCAACAGAATAATTTTCATGTACAACATTGATTTGTATATCAGATTGTATTAATTTTGATTGATTGATTGATTTAAGAGTGTTGAGAATTATACTAAGTAGGCCTATAACTGTACATCAGCTTCTATGACTTAAGTCAACATTTACAATTTGTGTTGACTGAATATCAATTAATTTAATTTTTCTTATCAAATCAATTATTTTATTCAAGGTGAAGATTGCTCATTGATAATCCTATTTAATTACTATGTTTCCCGTTGTTAATTTTTTTTACCTCTTGTATTTGTAAAATGATATTAAAATATGTGTGACATATATTACTCATTCATTGATAATTCACAGAAAAAATGCTTGAAGCAAAAATTTTACATAAACTTTCATTGACTTTGCATAATTTCAAGAACACATTTATAATATGAGATTATCTTTTTTTTTCGCATTCAGGTCGTGAGGTCAAGTCTTTGCCTATCCTATCTTGTCATCGTTTTACCGATTTCTGAGTGGAATTTAAGACTACTGATGTAGAAGAGCTTAATAGCTCGAGGCTTTCACTTTCGAACACAAGATAATCTTTGTACAAGGATCTTTTTGAAATCCTGTCCAATCTCTGCAATTATACTAGAATGTTGTACTTCTCACTACGTTTATGATGAACGGAGGAAGGACTGATGACATAGAATTTGATAAGTCGAACGGAATAACGCATATCTACAGTACATTACTTAAAATATGACTGTTGTCCAGAGCAGTTAAACTCATATATGAGGAGGATTTCAAACTATAAATTTTCGCATTTTGTTATATAAATATTGTATATTGGATAAATCATCTGAAAAATGGCTTCATTGAGTGCAATAATTCCATTGACTGTTAAATCTTGGCAGCTTGTTATTACTATAGCAACACTTGTTATCTTCCAGGTTGCAGGTAAGTTATTTTAATTGTTTAAAAGAATCTTCTTTGATGTGGTATGACCTTGTTGAACATAATTATTTTTGAAAGCTGTAAATTGCACAAGACAAGAACAAAAGATATTACTGAGGTCTTTGTGTAATATGCAATATGTTTCATTGTGTTAAAAGTGCCAATTGGTATTGTTTAGACAATTCAGAAGTTCAGACACCAGCATGACGTGAAGTGTTATGGCACAGACCCTGTGCACGAGGGCCTGTGGTTATGGTATGGTTCATCATAGGTTCTGTTCACTAGTCCAAGCAACATGATTTCAATCTCAACATTTATGCATATATTCCTCCTTCTGATAATTACTTCTGATAAGGTGGAACTTTTTTATACATTGTTTGGTGAACCTCCGACTGTCGATAATGGTGATTTTGAATTAAATAAAAATATAATTTAAAATTATTTTTCGCCAGTTCTGTAGTGTACACTCCACCACAAAAATGATATTTTAATAGAAAATATATATTTATTTTTATTACACCCTCCTCTCCCCTGAAATCTTCCAAACATAATATATATTTCTTAATTATATCAGTGATTGTATAAAGTTAAGGCATTTATCAATCTCATTACTACACTGTAAATATTCATCAATAACATTTTATTTTTATTTTCTCTTCCGTCAAGATGTTTTTGGCAAAATCATTTTGCTAAATAAGAAAATAAATTTTTATTTTTATTTTTTTACGCCCTCTGAAGATCTTTTGCAAAAAAAGAAATGTTTTTAATTTTAACTTGCTTGGAATTATAGTAGTGTCAAATTTTTGTTATTGGTTGGCCTATTTTAATTTTCACTGCAGAAACTAAACCAATCACCATCACCACCATCTATAAGAGAAGTAAAAACATTGTCATCATAAGAAAAATGTTGCCCTAATCGTCCTGCTCATCATTATCTGTAACAATACCAACACTGTTATCAGTTTAATATCACAATCACATCGCCAATCTCATCATCAAGATTACTGTAAAAAAAGAATACAGCACTACGTTTGACAAGGTGCTATAGTTCCTGTAGTGCCCCACATTGTAGACGTTGATTCAAGACCGTACTAGGATGTCGACAATTTGAATTTGCGTGTGATCTCTTTAATTAAATTTTGTGCAAAGGGCAATGCCGATATCGACTGTGAACAATGTTGGTTGCCCTGACCTGGCACAGACCCCCGGCCCCAAGCCAAATTTGTAAGAGGACTAGAGATTATTATTAATATTGTTATTTAATGATTGAAATCAAACATCAAATAGACCATGGCCAATTACCATTAACCTTGCAATAGTACTAATTTGTGGCTTATGTAATATAATGTTGGTCGCTGTCATGAGGAGGCCCTCATGGTAGGTTTATTTTCTACTTTCGGGCAATCCTGCCGCTAGGCAGTGATTGCGTTTATCAGTTTGCTCTTGTTTTTAAATAAAATCAAATAATAATAATTTTTTATTATTTTTATTATGATATATTGATAATGTTACTTGTTACTGTTATTCTTGCAAACTGTAGGACTTGACCTTACAAAGGTGGGTTCAATGATTGCATACAGTAACATTATTAAGTGTCGATGTGTCATTGTCGAAGAATAATTACCCTCAATTCTCCTTCTGAATCATCAGATTTTTATTATTTTTATGAACATACCTCAACAACCAGTATCAATAATAATAGCAATCGAAAAAAAAAAAAAAAAAAATCTATCCTTACATTAAAAGAGCATAATGTAAACTTTTGAGTTATTATTACAGTTAAACTTTTGAGTTATTATTACAGTTATAAAAATATTATAGTTTTTTCTTATCCCATTTGTACAGTCTCCTGATGGAAGTCCACAGTGTGGACGAAAGCTAGAGAATAAATTCTGTATTGTTAGTCTCAAAAGTGCTGCTGTCATTATTTCATATCACAATTGAGTAGTGTAAGTTGACATGTTGACAAGGCGAAGCCCCGCCCACAAAGTCACGAAAACCTTAGACAATGGCGGCTAGACTTACCGAGTTGGCGAACATTTTCTTTTCTATCAACCTTCTTTAAGAAAGAGAATTCATGGTAGGCGGTATGCAAATGAATCATATATTCATAGTGTTGATCTATTTCATAAAACAAGCGGGGAAATTGTTGTAAAAGCCTATATTTCGCTCCCAAAGGAAGAAGGAAAAGCCGCATTCAGTCAACTGATCAACTGTTAATTGCTGTAAACATGGGTTCAGAATTGTTTATTTGTGATTTGCGTTGCCATTGATCTTACCTAATTAATAATTCTTGATCACTGATCTACTGATAGCACCGGTCTAGTGAGGGCGTATTTTTCTAATATTAATTTTAATAATTAACACAAACAATTACAATAAACAGTGGTTTATAAATTGAACTAAAAGGGAAACTATACATGCAAAAAACACTGGGTTTTTTTTTCAATTTTTAATGTATTTTCAGGAAGCTTGGGTAACTTTGGGCAATTTTTGCTAAATCTTGGGTAATTTTGACCCATTCATTGGGTATATCAAAAATTGTGAGTGGTCACGCTGGTATATATAACCAAGCTTTATAGACATCTAGGCCTAGGCTCACATATGTTTCATGTTGACAACCAGCTGTCTAAGGAAATTAATCCAAGAAAAAGTTTTTGATCACGTGACTAAATGACGCTCGCCAACTAGTCGGTTTATCTGTCAATCAAATTTCGTCGAGATGTTAATTTGCTAGCATTGTGAAGAGCTGCAGAATCAAAAGATGAATTCATAGCAATGTTACAAGCCCTGTCCAGACTATCAAATTTTCTTTGACTCAAAACTGTTGTATGGCCATATATAGTCATGATGTGCCTATATATGATCATGATATGATGTCATCATGACCATATTTAGGCATGTCACATGTTTTTGTCAAATAAATTTTGATAGTCTGGACAGAGGTTTATTGAAGTGAATGCTGTACAACGTCTACCCCAATGCGCATCGGTCCACGACCAACTGTATAGCCATATCTAATATTGCAGGGAGAAGCAAAGTCAAAAGTATTCTTTATTCATCTGAGAGGAAATTACATTGCGCGTGGAGTGCAATGCTTATTTAAAGCCAAATTCCTGGCAAAATTTCAATCGTTAAGAAAAATCTTATTTTTATATGTGATAATGGTTTATAAATATAATACGAAATTGCTAGTTTAACTTAATTTAGATATTCCTATTAAACATGAAAAAAGAAATTTGATATTTTTTGTTTCACACAAAAAATAAATGCGCATGGATTTTTTATGTTTGATTTTGCGATACGTCTGCGAAGAAATATCGTAGGCACTGGAAACATTAGCCTATACAAAACTGCTAGGCTAGGCCTTGTTTTACCTCGATTTAGGTTCTGTTATCAGACATGAAAACGGCCGACATGGTATTTTACGTTGCTAGTACTGACACTTGTGAAATATAATATTTCATTGAAATTATTTCAAATTTGTTTCTGACCGAAATTTTGACAATTAAACAAACATATCTCAGGCCTATTCGATCAACCGCAGTGTGTGTACAAAAACTAATCTCATTAGAGAGGGCGCACTTTATTGACTGTTTAACAACTGTATAAAGTATACACAAAAGCCAGAGCATTCAAGCGGATGCAATCTACAACATCTGAATTTGCCTATTAACGAAGAATTCGTTGAAAAAATGGTAATCCTCTATGAAATGGTATCTATTTCTCATTTTTTTTTATCCTTTTGCGTAAAACTAAAATTTATGCCAATATTTTTCCATGGCTTATGATAATTAGAGTAATGCATTTGCATTTTCTCTAGAAAAATATTTTTTTAGTAAAATTTCGCCGGAATTGGGACTTTAATCAGAATTAAGCTTAGCAATTCTCCCTATAACGTTTTGTCATGGTTTATTTATCTTTTTATTAAAATGCCTGAGAAAATCTGTAAATTGTGTAAGACACTAAAGTATGTAGACCCTACATAAAAATATAACTACCAGTACATACAGTACAGTATGTATGTCACATTAAACAAGGTGATTTGGAGAGTTCTCAGCATGTGTCTTGTAGCATATTTCACTGCCACACCTTACTGTACCCTCACCCAAGTTGCATTTCTGTGCTAGCCAGCTCAGCAAAAACAACAGATGTAATGACGATGATATGGCTTTAGCTTTGTGAGGGCAGTGGTTACCTGCTGCGAATTGACCGGTCCAAATTCCTTACATTGAAATGGATCAGTTTATAACCTGTCGATTTCAGTGTGTTCCTAATTAACATTTCGTATTACTAAACCAACATTGCAGATGTAGAAATAACATCACACTGTTTTTATTAGATTGTGGTGAACTTTATTAGACTCATTCGTTTCTGTAACTAGATAATTTAGTGTGAAAGTGCTAGCCTTTGCCTGAGACCCTATTAAGAACAGATCTGTCATCCCTATTTAGCTTCTCTTTTTAAGATCACATTTCTGCTTTCTTCTACCAGAGCTGTTTAAAATACAAAGTAGTATAGAGACTTATGATCCACCTACAATAATAGTGAGTACAGGCTATTTGAAATATTGCTACCGTAACTTAAATGAGTATTTTAGACTCGTATCACAAAAGAAATTTAACAGTTCATCCACATGTTGATGGTGTTACTATGTTTCTTATATTTTTTGTCAGACTTTTTTAACACGTTAAAAGGTTATACAGTATTCTAGTGTCATTTATGATTAAATATTAAATGTACCAGTTGGGATACTCTCAATTCATTTCCCTTCTAATGTTGTTGCTTTGTACTTCAATCAATGAAATGCAAGTTATTTTCATCGTTAAATTACAATTAATGAGTACAATTCATCTTCACTTAATGACAGTAGATTGCTTCCCACTCAAAGTGTACTACATTGATATTCTGTAAACACAATTAATGATTATCTCCAAGTCCATTCATTACTGTACATCATCAAATTTAAATTATTTCCCTACATTATTGCTAAAGCACTGCATTTCTATTCTGCATAGTACTACATGCTCTACTATATATTGATTCAAACCAAAGCTGTTTCCTATAAACAAAACAAAAAAAATGTAGGGATACGAGACTTACACACCATATAAAACTATGTATATGATGTATATGATAAATAATACACAGATTTCCCGGGATATTCCTACTGAAATAACTTTGGTCTTCGCAAAAGTAAATGATACCTTGCTAAAGAATTGATGCAGACATGTAGTTCATTCTAAAGCCACCTAAAAATATCAACATCCTGGCCTCTCCCTACTTGTGATTGGATTTAATGCTACAGCTTCTCTGTTAGATTGTACTGCCATAAAGAAACTATTGAACTTTCAATTGCTATGTCATCGCATCATTAACCCACATGGAAGATTCTTCAAAATCAGTTGAATTATAAACATCCTGGCCTCTTACCACCTTTGATTGGCTGTGATGCTAATGTTGCCCTGCAAGCTATACATGAATACAGAGTATTGCCTCCTTTAACTCTTGGATTATCAAGTGCACATCACAACTTAGATCGTTTAAAAGTGTCTTGCAGAAAGTCAATATATGCAAATTACAATACATATCACTGGAGACTACTGTAGCAGCATCTCTTGTTCAAGTAGAATATAAAGTCTGCTCATCAGATTCTCTAATTTGATATTCAGTTCTGTAATACAGTGCTTTTCCAGATCTAGGTTTCTAAGATCTCATAAAAAATATTATTCTGCATTTTTAAATGAGCTTTGAACTTGCGAGTAAAGATTACTTCCATGCTTTTACTATTAAATTAACAGAATTTTCTGAAGATGAATCTATCTTAACGTTTATTCTATAGATAATTGCAGTTTATTTTACATATTATTTAATCATTTCCCTGCCCCCACTTATTGTTTTAATGATATGAGTATTTTTATTTTAAGTATTGGTACCAGTCAATATTTGTCTTAAGCCTAAGACACTTCAAAGTTAAGGCTTTACAGTATGTTTGTCCTCTTTAATTACATATTTTAGCGTGTGATACAAAGTCCAAAAACTTAAAAGTTTTTTGTTCTCATATTTTGTTTAGAATTTTTAAAGATGTATTGTCCCATGCTAAATACCCAAAAAATCACAAAAATATTTTTTTAAATTAACTTGCCCATTTTGAAGTAACATAAAAGTTATCAACTTGAGCATAGCAATTAGTGTATTTAAAAAATGTCTACCTATCAGTTTACAGGGAAAAATGATAGAAACACTTACAGTCACTGGAAGTGTTTCATTATTTTAATTATAATTATCCAGTTTATAAATCAGGGTGCACATTTTTTCAATTCAGTAATTTCTATACACAAGTTAATAATTTGTATGTTATTGCAAAATTAGCAAGTTGATTTCAAAATGATTATTTATGATTTTTTGACATTAGTAAAAGAAAAATCTAAGAAGAGTCACTTGGATGTAGGTGGCTGAATGGAGCTCACCGGAGTGTCAATCTAACCTAACAACCAATCAGAACAGGGCCAGGAATACATACGTACCTCACAGACACATGTTGTGTTTGTATACCTTTTTGCATTGTCGTTTTGTGGGACAGACCTTAGGAACAATATCCAAAGTGCTTAGCGAAAAGTCCATTACGATAGAATGTTGCCTGTTTTTTTGTTTTTTTTGTGTTTGTTGTTTTTATAATTGTGAAGTCATACTCTTCGTTTTTAAGGTACGGTCATTTTTCTAATTTCTTTTTACATACTGTACTTTAATTTCTCTTTCAGCTGTTCCTAATCGTGTCGACTTAAGTAAAGGGGTACCACAGCAACGCATCAAACGGAATCCAGGAGCAGGCCTTGTGTATTACTCAAGTGTTTGTGATGGAAGTACCATGGACCTACGGTGTCCAAAAGGCTATGTACTCGACATTGATCAAGCCAATTATGGACGCACGGATACAAAAACTTGTATCTTAGCCGGAACGCCTGAAACGAATGACCAGTGTTTCTGGATGCCCTATTCTTTTGATGTTGTTTCTAAAAGGTATAGTCTTTAAACATATTTAATAATATAATTTAGTTTTTTTTTTCTTGTATTAATTTAATTTGTAGTTAATTTGTACATTATACCTGTTCAGATTATCAAATTTTCTTTGACAAAAAATTGTTGTATGCCCATACATAGTCATGATGTGCCTATATATGGTCATGATGTGATGTCATCATGACCGTATTTAGGCATGTCATATGTTTTTGTCAAATAAAATTTTATACTTGTAGGCAAACTCAGACAGCATCATACATCGCAGCCCGACACAACTTGTTGTCGCGTCGAGTCTGTGTGAGTTGAATGCAGGTTAAACAAAATATAAATAAATAAGTAAAACAAAAAATAAATAAATATCACACCCATACATGGGCATTATGATGTCATAAGACACCCATATATAGGCGATTCACAGTTATTTGTTAATTCCATAGTTCCTCAGATGCCCATCTTGGGTAATAAGCCCACCCCTACTTTATTATTGCAAAAATATCTAATATTGGCTTTGAATGCAGTGTTGAAAAATTGCCATTTCATTGAAAAGGGGATTCGTCAGGTTATTTGCCCACTGCCAAAATTTGGCTCAGAGGAGGGTGGACTTATTATACTATAGGCACTATGGTACATAAACTTTCATAGAGCTAAAGTCCAGCCATTTACCTGTAAATTAATTACCTCTCTTTGGTGAAAATATGTCTAAATTGTCAAATTTTAGTGCAATTTAATAGTTTAAGCAAAATCTCAAAGTGCAAATGGCCAAGCAATAGGACATTACAGTAATTATAAACAAATGTGTTTTTTTTTTTGTAATATCTTCAAGCTTCTTCAGTTTGTTATCACAATGCTATAGATGTTTACATTAAATGTGAAAATAATTACTGTATGATATTAATTTTTTTCCATCCATCGTATGATTCCATTCTCTATCCGAATGACTCAACATCATCCAACATTGCCCATTTACTGTACAATAGTAAATCTAGTGGGATAGGAGAGGGAAACCGTGGTGGTTTATTATTTCCCTTCTTTTTAGTTTAATTCATCGTCTAAATAAGTTAGCAATGTGTATAAAATGATTTCTATTTGTAACCATTAGGTGTGACAATAAATCGTATTGTTCAATCATTGCCAATGTGAGTACATTTGGCGGTGACCCCTGTCCAGAAACTCGAAAGTATCTAGAGGTTACCATGAGATGTATTGAAAATCCTGGTAAGTTGTTAATCTGGCTGTTTGGCATGACAGCTCATGTCCCACAAAATGCAAGAGGAATTGAACAAACACCAGCATGATTTCAGGGCTGCACTCAGCAAAATCAATCAAAACCTAATTGTTTAACTAGAACTAACTATCCCTTTAGTTTTCCATTATTCCACTGGCTGTAACATTGTTTTTTTAGATTTATTTTCCAGCAGTTATAATTTTAATCAAGTACTGGTAGATTTGTGTTGTCTAACTTTCTGTAGATTGTGTCGTTCACTGTTTTTAGATTGTATTGTTTTTGTGCAAAATTATTTTTTCCTTAATAATCAACAAAAGTTTTACAGAATTAAATTTCTCTTCAATAATTAAGAAACCACTTTCATTCGGAATTTCTCTAGATTCTAGCATCTACTGTAGGTATGTAATTCCTAGATTGTCAAAACATATTATTCTTAGTAGGTACAATAGGCACCGTATACTGGTATAATTTCAGCACCAGAGATTATACGATGGACCACAACAACAGGTCCAAAGTCGCAGGCAGATGGTCCACATCCAACTCGGCCATGGTTGTATAAAATTTTAAGAATAGGAATCACTGGATGTCCAGAAGTGGTACTCGATCTCAGGCTTTAAAATTGCTTTTTCAAAGCAATTCTTCAATGAATGGATTTGGATGGATGGATTTATTTGGTGTAAACACCAAGGATAACCCAGGAGAGTCTGAAGAAGACTTATTTCCAGTGAGGTCTTTCTAGTGGTGATTGGGCAGTACACCGGGATACAAATCCCCTACTCTTTTCCAAAGAGTGTACTTTGTGATTTAACATGCACATGGGCCATAATGCACACAGAACCAATGGCTTAAACATCTCATCGGAAAGACGGTGCGCAATCATAGCTTGCATTTCAGACCTCAAACTGAAATATAAAGAGAGCAGCGATGGGAATAGCCGACCGAGCTAAGCCCCTAAACTGAAATGAATGGCTTCTCCCGTGACCAGCAATCCAGGGTTGCCTGAAGGGTTGCCTTTGTCCCTGGGTTCCCCACAGTGCCTTCACTGAACTGTAAAACATAACTTTTTGACATGTAATTTTGATATTTATAGTCAGAACTCAAAGTGTTTCATTGATGCTCCTCTTAGCTACAAAATAAGAATGTTCAAGCTGTCCGTTCATTTGTACAACACTATCTAAATGTCTAAAAAAAAAAAAATTTTCCCTCCGGCACCTAGCTTAATGCCTTACAATTCAACTCAAGACATAGAACGTCACAAAGTTCAAGTCTGTAATTGACGAGTCTAATAAAAATTAATGGGTATTAATAGCTTTATGTTAATTTCCAAACAGTGTCACCCTAACAGTCCAGCTGGTATGCAAGCATTTTGTTAATCTGTTAATGTAGCATTTAACATCTTTGTACTGTACTTGTAACAATCTCTGACTGCATTTCAACATCTTTGTACTCGCTAAGTTGAATTATCTGCTGATACCTTAATTCTTTGTCTAAGCCTTGATTAGCTAGATAAGCTTTAATTGGGTGCACTCTGCCTTCAGGCTTGTGGATGCAGAAATTAAATCATATAGGAATCACTTATGTAGTGTACAGTACCTGATAGTAATGGATGCTTTGTGGAGGTCAGTTTTAAAAGTCTCTACGGTTAAATTTTAGTTCTATTTTCAATCATCCACATAACCTATTATGTGATTCAACCAGTAGACGCCAGCAGGAACTTCGGCATCACAGAACCCTCTCAGAGAAACCTGGATCCCATATTGGAGAAGAATAAAATAATGCAAAGCAAATTTCTTGTAGGGCCTAATTGTGTTCATTACATGACCAATAAAATAAACTTCTAACTTTAAACTTTGAATCAACCATTTTGTCTGAACACTGCTACTTTGAAGCTTGAACTTTGAATTCAACTGTCTTGTCAGAAAACTGCTTTGAAAAAGCATTTTTTATCAGTTTTAGTGTGCACTTCCGTACTTATTTTTAAAATTTGCCAAACTCATCCCCAAACTGGGGCTGAGGTGATATCCCAGTTTGCGACCTTGGACCCCTCACCAGGAAATCAATAACAAAAACAATAGTTCTAATTGCACAACTGCGTAATAAACAAGATTCCATATCTGCTTTTTGCATGGTGGAGGCACTATGACATGGACAATGCTGCTGTGTGGCACTCTGCTCCACCCGATCCTGGCACGGTGGCACTCTTGCGAGCGTTTTCAACCGGATGTCGGGAGTGGAGTTGAATAGCTTGGTGGTTAAGATGCTTGCTTTCCAATCCCAGGGTTATTGGTTCAATTCCAGTCAGTGTTGCATGATTTTTTTCTCACGACCAAAGCAACTCCACTCCCTAAACCTCATAATGAGATTTAGTTTGAAAAGCATCGTGCGTTTATGTTTGTCTTGTGCAAAGGATTGTCACCTACAAGTAGGACAGAGATATAATTCACTATTGACAATCCTTGGTGCATGAGTTGTGTGCCTAAAGAAATTTTTAAAAAAAAGTCTTTATAATTGTAAGAGATTCCTTTCTAATAAATGAATCAATTTTAATTGCTGCAGAACATGTCTCAAAACTCCCATAATGATCAAGCACTTTGTTGTTTTTTGTTATGTGACACTATAATCCATAAATCTTGAAAGTTTCTTTGACCATGGGAGAATAAATTCATGATCTATAGTTACAGTAGATTACTGTAGTCTTATCTAGGTATGTCAAATGTCATCTGCAGTGTTTAAATTCAACTGAAATTTGTATACATTAAAATAAACAACTTGTGCTTTATCTGTTAATTAAAGTATTGGTGTGAATGCAAAGAAAGTAATTAAAGTGTTGAAATATTATTATCATGTGATCAGAAATAATCAAAGTTTATTTATATGACTAATATTATTTTACTATTTACTGTGCTGTAGATTTATTAAATATTTAGTTTGTATAGTATCATAAGAATTCTTGAATAAACTGCTTTAAAAAATGTATTCATATACCGGTACAAGTAATAACCAATGTATAATTTGGGTTTTCTTTCATGAGGTGAGAGTCCTGGTATTTGTGGGATTTGAACCCAGGACCCTGGATTTATAGGCTTGAATCTTAACCACCAAACCACAACTGTTCTCCCTTATAAGCCTCATGTATTAATGTTCTTTTGGCCTAAATGCTACTCTCATTTATTTCTACGTTGCTATGTCATGGCACAACTAGGCACCTTTTCTTTAGCTAGTAACTTACCTCCATGCTTGGCTATAGCATTCAGGACTTTAACAGTTAAACTACAACTCATAACTTTTTTAAAATGTGTAGCATATATTTAGCCATATTGACCACTGAGTAGCATTAATGTGTAAAAAATATGTCTCATGTTGCTGATGTCAGTAACGAGAGCAGTTTAATGTTGCTCATTTAATTTTTATATATATATATATATGCCTAGAGTTAAATTTATTTAATTTTAATTTATTGATTTATATTTCAATACTTTAAGTATATTTTATGCAATCTTCTTTATGTTTTTTATTTTGTATTTTTTATTGTTTTAATATTAATCACTTGAATTGAATAATTAAAATGCTACTTGAGACATAAATGTGAGGATATGTGTCATATAGGATCTAATGTGAGTCAGCAAGCTGTGGTAGTCATATGTTAAATTTAATTATTATATTAATATTATATACTGCTGAGTACCTGATCACATGACCTACAACATAGATATCTATTCTTGTACTGTTTGTGTTACATAGAGAAGCACATGTTAAATACTCTACCGTATATGAATTGCAGGATACAAATACATGGTTAATAATAGAACCGGTGGAAAATCCGGAAAACTTTTCTCTCTGGATTTCATGCTAAAGGAAGTCTCGCACCTGTAAAATGGAAGTAGTAAACATGGATGTCTCACTTGAGAGTACTGTATAAATGTTATTGATTTAAGATATTCCGAAAGGAACACAGCAAACTGGTTATTCTAAATCATGGAAATATTGGTTAAATTTATATTTTGGATGCTAAATTTTGAATCGTTCTTTATTCAGGAAAAGGGAATTAAAGCGCATTCCAAATGGGCTGTTTTGAATCATGATTTGATGCCAGAAAATATCAGTGAATGTTTGTTTAGCCTACTTCTTTAGCAGCACCTTGGAACAGAGTAATAAATGTCAGTGTGGCCTTGGTTTTATAGGAAACAGATAATTTCCATTTAATGTAGAAAAATTTCTTATCTAACCCACAAAATGATCAGATAGTAGGAATTTTGCTATAGATTTTATGAAAATCAAAGTAATTATCACCAACTTGGATGCTTACAATACTTCAGACTTTATTGTGTTTGCCATTTCCCTCTTTATCCTATAGTATCTTCTTTAATATAGCCTCTTCTTGATTGAAAAGTGCATTTAACTTTACAAGTTTGGTATAGAGCCAAACAACACTACAGAGTAACACAATGATTTACCTTTCAACCACATGGCTGTCTTCATCAGGTGAATAGACAATCAAAAATATTCTTCTATTTTCACTTTTTTTGAAACTCAATTTCAGGCCTCACTGATAGATAGTAGCCTAATTTAAATTCATTATTTCTCTGAAACCATAAATATTTTGTTTTAATTGATTCCAATATTATCGTTTGAATCATAAGTTAAAAGTAGAAAGTACAGTATTTATACTTATCTTACTTGGTATAAGCAACACATAATTAAACAACTAAAGCCTGCATTTTTTAGGAAGGTCAATCAGACAAATTTGTTTATAAAAACTTTTTTTGGATATTAATTTCAAGCATCAGTAAAAAGTTAACTATGAAACTGTCTTCTCTTTGTAGTCTTTGATTTATATTTAATTGAAAAGTATTCAAAATCTGTTTATCGAAACCTTGACTTCCTTCATAATACAAGTGAAATAAAAGTATTGTGCTCCGATTGTGTAAGAGCTGGACGCTCTCCACACAAAAAATAAATGCGGATGAATTTTTCATTTTGATTTTGCGAT